CAGCGTAATGAGGAGAGAGTACTGCTTCATCATTAGTGGAGGACGACTTTGGTAAGGCTCAAGTATTCTCAAACTACTTCAGCAATGTATGCACCATAGAAGCACCCATCCTGTCAATGCATACAGATCCCCACAGATACACTGGGTAGCGTGACCATTAAAGAACTCGATGTCTTTGGTCTACTAAATAAGCTTGACATAGGTAAATCCACGGGGCCCGATGAATTACATCCTAGGCTACTGAAGGAATTATCTAACTACGTTGCGAACCCTTTAAGTATACGCTTTAATCTATTCGTAAAGCAGAGTCGTTTTCCAAAAGACTGAAAAAACGCCATAGTAAGTTCTGTCTTCAAAACAGGTACGAAACACAAACCTGAGAATTACCGCCCCGTTAGCCTAACTAGTGTGGTTGTTAAAATCTTGTAAAAAATTATTCGGAAGGAGCTGTTTAAGTATCTCGATGAAACCGGATCCTTTCGGAGGAGTGGCATGGCTTTAGAATAGGTTATTCTTGTCTCACGAACTTATCAGTTGCTCGTGAAAGCTGGTGCGCTCTTAAGGACCAAAAGTTATCTGTAGATGTAGCCTTCATTGGTTTCAGCAAAGCTTTTTATAAAGTTCCGCACAACCGGCTGTTATATAAGTTAAGAGATGTCGGGATTGGAGGCAATCTATTTATGTGGATAGAAGACTTCCTAGTTGGGCGTCAACAAAGGGTACGAGTGAACTCAAAGTTATCTATCTGGGGAATTGTGCTTAGTGGAGTGCCCCAGGGTACAGTTTTTGGGCCAGTGCTATTCTTCTTGCGTGTAAATGACCTTCCTCGTCTCCTATCATCATCGGTCTTGCTATATGCTGACGATGTCAAGATATGGAGGACGATACGATGTAAGGGTGATAGCTCAGAACTCCAAAATGACCTGGAGAAGTTATCTGAGTGATCTCAAGCCTGGCGGTTGCTAATAAATATTTCCAAGTGTATTGTGATGCATATCGGTCATCAAGGTACAGACACATACACGATGAATAACACTGAGCTACCTGTTGTCCAGACATACAGCGACTTAGGAGTCATCGTTAGCCAAGGCTTAAAGACTAATGCACACTGTCATGCAATAGCCACCCAAGGATTTAGGACCTTATGGTCAATACGTAGGGCTTTTAGTCATGTCGACGCTAAGACGTTTTTGACTTTGTATACAATGTTCGTACTTCCGAAACTTGAGTACTGCATACAAGCGGCCAGCCCCTGCTTAAAAAAGACGGTGAACTTCTGGAAAAGGTTCAGAGAGCAGCAACTAAGCTGATTCCCGGAATAGCGAAGCTTCCGTATGAAGCTCGACTGACCAAGCTCAACCTATTTCCGTTGTCATATCGCAGAACTAGATACGACGTGATTACAGTTTTCAACTTACTTAGTGCCAAATTCGCGCCTGATATGCCCTTATTTTCCTTGTCTTCCAAAACAGAGAACTTAAGAGGACACTCCAAAAATGTTCACAAACCCAGGACAAATTACTTGTCAATTGACTATCGACTTTCCCATTGAATCATCAACGAGTGGAATTCATTACCTCAGCACGTGGTTGAGGCTCCATCCGTCGATTCTTTCAAAAGAAAGCTGGATCAACTGAGGGACTACCATTGCAAGGACTAACACAGGCCATCAGGCCTCCTGTCCTTTCCAAACTGTGTCATAGAGGCGAGACCCAACCAAGAAGAATCCTGAAGCTGGTTCTCGGGAGTTTCGAAGAAAGAGACATATTATTGAAAAGCGCACAAAAAACTCGTGCCTCAAATATCCGTATTCGACCAGATTGGCCGCTTGAGGATCGAATCAAGTGGAAGAATGCTCTTACGGAGTTGAGGACTCGCAAATTAAATGGCGAAAATAACCTTACCATTAAGGGTTTTCGGGTAGTCAGGTCTTGGAAGCCAATGCTTCCGAGGCCTGTATGGGTAGAACGATTGATTTCCAAAACACCTTAAGTGTGTGCTACACGAACGCTCGTAGTCTTAGAAATAAAACGTCCGAGCTAAGTCTGATGGTGCAAGAATTATGTCCCGATATAATCGTTGTTACAGAAACTTGGTTCACCGTTGATATAGACTGTTCTCCTTTCATTGCTGGTTATATCTGTATCAGAAGTGATAGAGTTTCAAGTCGCAAGGGGGAGGTATAATATTTTACGTTAGGGATCACTTTCGTATACAATCAACCATATCGGAGGCTCATATCAGTGGCACATGTGAGGTTGCATGTTGTAAGATTAAATCTAGAAATGGGTTAGTGACTATAGGGGGAATATACCGTAGTCCGTCTTGTCTGGCTGACGACTTTATCCTAAGACACATCTGTTCTTGGAGTATGGCAGAATGTTGTCTCATCATTGGGGACTTCAACGCACCGCATATCAACTGGATAGAGCTTACAGCTCCAGGTAGTGGTTTCGATAGCGACCTTTTATCTACCGTTATTCAGTGTGCACTTGTACAATGTATCACAAAACCGACACATATTGATTTGCATCATGTTCCGTCACTGCTGGACCTCGCCCTCACCCACCACTCTGAGGATGTCTTTGATATCCAGCACCTTCCTCCACTAGTGAACAGTGATCACGTTGTAATTCACTTTAAGTTTAGGACACATGGTATACAATTCGTATCTGCTCCACCCCGTCCCAATATCTGGCGAGCTAATATTCCGGAAATCAGAAACCGTGCTATCTCGACCGATTGGTCGGTCGACGCGGATGGATTGATCGAAGATGAATGGAATAAGTTTAAGGCTACATTCGAGTCCGTAACGTCGCCGTTTATCCCATGGTCAGCACGTAAGCTATCACATTGCCCTCCATGGATTAATAAGGAAACCCGGAAGCTGTTAAAGCGTAGGAAACATTTCTGGGACTTATTCTTGTTGACAGGTCATGCACCATTTAAGCGTGAGTATCAAAAATACCGTAATATCTGTAAGAAAACCATAGCGAAATCCCGTACCACTTACGAACGACAGTTAGTATATGATAGCCGTACTTGTCCGAAACGATTGTTTTCGTATGTTAAACGGCAAATGAAACGTAGTGATGGTATTCCCCCGTTGCTGTTACACGAAAATTCAGAATTACTAGCTGAATCAGATCGAGCAAAAGCTGAGACTTTTTCAGATTATTTTAGCGAAGTCTTCTCTACGTTTATTGTAACAAATACTTGTCCCACTCACACCGAGATACCAACCATTGAATCCGTACAGGTGACTGAGGAAACTGTCCTTCCGTTGATAACTAACCTCAAACCTGGTAAGATACCGGGCCCTGACGGGTTACATCCACGGTTGCTGTCATCTCTTGCGGACATTATTTCAAAACCGCTTGCGACACTCTTCAACATGTCCCTCTCACTCGCCCAACTCCCTAGAGATTGGAAGGACGCTATAGTTAGTCCTATATTTAAGGACGGTCAGCGACAGATAGTATCTAACTACCGGCCTGTCAGTCTAACTAGCATAGTCGTTAAGTTACTCGAAAAGATAATTCGGGTTAGGTTGCTAAGCCACATAGATTTACACAATCTGTTAGCTCCTGAGCAACACGGATTTCGTAACAAGCGTTCATGCTTGACTAACTTGCTTATTGCGAGGGAGGATTGGACAGCAGCCCTAGATCACGGTCTGTCTGTCGACGTGATATTCATAGATTTTAGCAAAGCGTTTGACAAGGTTTCACACGTAGGTCTTATGCAGAAGCTCACGAGCTTCGGAATAATAGGTACTGTACATGAGTGGATAGGAAATTTCTTATGTGACCGCAGACAGAGAGTTAGGGTCAATGGAACGCTATCCGATTGGAAGCCGGTCAAAAGTGGTGTACCCCAAGGCACCATCTTAGGCCCTCTGCTCTTCCTTCTCTACGTTAATGAGTTACCACTGTTACTTAGGTCGTCGACATTATTGTTTGCAGATGATGTAAAAATCTGGAGAACAATAAAAAGTGCGGCTGATCATGTGGATCTTCAAGCTGATTTAGACGATTTAGTTAGATGGGCTCGAGAGTGGGGCTTAGAAATTAATGCTAGGAAGAGTGTACTAATGCACGTCGGTCACGGTAATAGTTACCGTTACACTATTGAGGGTAAACCTCTTCCATGCGTTCAAGAGCATAAGGACTTAGGAGTAATATTAAGTCATGACTTAAAAACAACTGCGCATTGCAAAGCAGCCGCTGTCAAAGGTTTTCGTGCGTTATGGTCACTTCGCCGAGCGTTCAAATCTTTTGACGAGGAAACGTTTCGAATTTTATACCCCATATATGTTAGACCACATTTAGAGTACTGTATCCAAGCAGCTAGCCCGTGTCTAGTAAAGGATACTAACTCCCTTGAGCGTGTCCAGCGTGTGGGAACGAAATTAGTGAAGGGTCTTTCTAGTCTCCCTTACGATGAGCGCTTAAAACGCCTAAATCTTTTCCCCTTGTCGTATCGTAGGACACGAGGTGACCTTATACTGGCATTTCGTATCTTTAATTATGATTTGGGTGTTAATATGTCTTATCTTTTTGCTCCCTCCAGCACTAATAATCTCCGAGGTCATAGCAAGAAGGTTCATAAACCACGATCTAATAAACTTAAAGTGGGATCCCGTTTTTCTCATCGAGTAGTCAATCATTGGAACGCCTTACCCGAACAAGTGGTATCAGCCCCATCAGTGAATACTTTCAAGGAAAAGCTGGACCTTCACTGGAAAGCAATGTGTCAGGATTAACACAGGTTCATCAACCTACTATCCTTATTACTGAAGACTGAAGACTGAATACTTGGAACATGCTGCCCGAAGCAGTGGTGTCCGCACTTTCAATTGACACTTTCAAGAGAAGATTGGACACACAGAAGCATACTAGAAAAGGAATAACATAGGGCGTAGGCCTTCTGTCCTTACTACACAAATCTGAATTTGAATCAAGCCTCCTGTCCTTCCAAGACTGAAACTAATTATACCCGGGGAAATTGAGTTTGGCGCGCAGGCATGTCAGCAGAGTATCATAATGTCGAGCTTCGTATGTTTGATGAGGCCCAGTTCACTTGTCGAACGCTCGGAACTGGATTGACAGTTGGATTGAGAAACTCTAAAGTGATTTCTGTTCGGTAAGTGCATTGTAGTGTGTTTACACTGCCACAAAAGTAGGGATAATGAGACCGTTAGGGAAATCCATATTTCCTCTCTGGCTAATATATATCGTTTCTCACAAAAAACGGTAGCTGTCTGTACGAAAAAATGCGTCGGGGACGCGGTCTTCACTACTTATTTGTTGGGTTTCGATTCTCCAGGGGATGTCCGAAGCTTTTAGTAAGTGCTATATATTTCGTAAGTAAATTGCACAGAATTCTTCCGGTCTCCTGAAACCGCTATGTGAAGAGAACAAGAAGGAGACCCGCACTTCCATTTTCGATAAGCGTACTGACTCTTGGTCTGCAGTACAATATTTCCAATTTTACAGTTACATCAGTCAGCAACAAAATATGATGCAGGTATGTTTTCAGAAATTCTTCAAAATCTCCGATAAGTTATTCCCTTTTGAGTATCGCACCACTTACCTTTATTATTTACCTGGATTGTGAACCTAAACATGCTTTAGTACACTGAAAGATGTAATCAGTACTAGTCTCAAAAGAAAATGTAGAGAAATTAAAAGGTCTCGGTAACTGCTTATCAGGCCCGTTTAATAATAATAAAGTGGCCAATGAAATGCAATTTGCGTCAAGCAGTTTGTGATGTATATCGATACTTTCAGTGTATCCTATTGGTGTCATCTTTTCATGGGTTTCATTGTACTTAACCCATCACTTCAAACCCTAAATCTTCACACACTTCTATGTAAGCAAACATGTAGTTTGTTTGGCCTTCAAAGTGTACAGAACATGAAAGTGTACTCGGAGGGTTTTGAATGGTATACTGTTTAAGGGCATTGATGGCGTTTCAGAAGTGTACCTTCATGGGCAAATTATCGCATGGAAATTGCAAGTATAATCGTATCTGCGCGAATGCATTCTTTTTTAATCTTCTATATTCATCAGATTTTTTTGTTTTCCATCCTCAACGTGCATTCTTAGTATTTACTTCGCTAATTCCTCCCAATTAAAATTTAGTAATGTAAACTTGTTCACTGCTGCAACTTTCTGCTTAGACGTGTTCACTGTAAACTAACCTACAATCTAAGGTCTTTTTTTCCTTACGATTACATTTTTGACGCTGCCTTAGAACATAAACCCAGATTATCCTCATTGACGTTCGTACACATCTCTAGAACTCTGTTACACGGTCATTTAATTAATGTCATTAGTAATAAACGTACCTATTTGTATTGTAATGTAACCACTAGTTCATATGTTGCTACCTTAATTATTTGTGACCTTTAACCTATCAGCTCAAGGCGTTTTGAATGCAGGTAGTGATGTGTAATTACTCCATTATTGATTTTTTGGAATGATTATCACTCACATGCATTTCTCTTGTTGCTCGAAAACGAAGTCAACATCTTAATACCCATCTAACAATAGCTTTCAACCTTAATAAGGCTAACCACCTGTCCCGTTTCTAGGCACTAAACATTTCACGGTTTCATTTACAAACATGTAACTAATTTACTCCTATTTGCATTTTATGAGTTTGACACTTGCATAACTTGTGGATTGTTCATAAAGCTACAATGGGTTTCTGGACATTATTTCGACTTATTTTGATTTCCTGTAATGGTTCACTAGTGTACACTTTGTTTACTTCTATTTGATTTATATTTCTTAGGACTATATTCGCACTTCAACCTACCAAAGAGCTATTCTCGCAAATGCTTCCGCTGACTTTCGCGGAAAAGTGGTATTGGATGTTGGAGCTGGCTCAGGAATTTTGAGCTTCTTCGCAATCCAAGCTGGTGCAACAAGGGTTTATGCTGTTGAAGCATCTAATATGGCTACTCATTGTAATAGTCTAGTTCAAGCAAATAAATTGGCGGGACGCATTGTTGTCATCAGGTTAGTTAGTGTTTATGACTGCTTGTGATTATTTATCTAATGTTTTAAAATCTCATCCAAGCCAATATATTACACCACGAAGTTTCCGACTAGATAGTCGATTTAAGCAAAAGCGCAAATTGTAAACAACTACTATTTTAATGATTTTAATGAAGTATTGGGGAATTAAGTACATTTTAAAAGTTGTCCAAAATAAGTACCTCATCAATGCCTTGTATTAGGCTTATCAACTTAAATCTGCGTATTTATTGCTTGTGCAACATTTGGATATCGATATGTGGTATTGATATTATCATGATGACTACATACGTAATTCAAGCTGAATTGCATCATTCATAAACATTTGAATTCCAATAATCCTCAACTTTAGAAATCACCAGTTCAGACACTACTGATTTATATTTATATTTGAGGTATCAGTATACCGAAACGTTTAGTACCTTATTAATGTTCTCCGACCATATTATTAGGGCGCTAATAAAGTTCGTACTGTGATACTAAGTTACCAACTCTGAACTTAAGTCTCATATACTATGTCAACAATCCATTCGTCATTTCTACACTTGTTATTTACGAGTCACTTTAGTTAAACAAGTTATTGGCACTTAGTTTGAAGCTAAATTTGTGAAATTCTTTTCACATTTGAGATAAATTAGTATTTTTTTGTTCACTCTGCTTAATATATCTGCCTAGAAATAAAGTTCACACCTTTCAATACTTAGGTTAAATTTATCACTCAAAAACTTACTAAAACTATTTTACTCTTAGTGGGAAAATAGAAGAAATCACTTTGCCCGAACCAGTGGATGTCATTATATCTGAGCCAATGGGTTATATGTTATACAACGAGAGAATGTTAGAATCGTATGTTCATGCAAGAAAGTTTCTAGCTCCACATCTTCGACAGCCATTAAAAAAGAAGCAGAACAGACGTGAGCATGAACGACTTAATGAAGATGATCAATCACCATATGTCAAACAGTTGTCAGATTCTGAGCATTCTGATGAAGTATTAACTGATGAGTTGGACTGTGAAGATATTGACATAGAGGATCAGGTACATGATGGCGCGACAAAATTATCTAATAGATCATTACCTTGCCCCGGAATAATGTTCCCGTCTGTAGCAAATTTGTATATTGTTCCATTCAGTGATGAGGCACTCTTCGCTGAACAGTACGGGAAAGCTAACTTTTGGTATCAACAGGTTAGTTTAGTAGTCTTCAAATTATTTTATTCGTTTACATCAACGAAATTGTAAAGGCATTATCATTTCAGTTTCTGCTAATTGTTACTCTCCAGTTATCTCGCCCTTGCAAATTATCCTTGGCTGCGTGCTTGATATTCTTATCTTCGACCTAAACTCGAAGATTTACATACTTTAGTTTGTTTGTGGTCGGTTAAACAACTGCACGTGTTTATCGAATATTGTACTCTTAGAAGTTGGATTTCTCTACTGGTCCTCTCCAACGCCCAATATTAGCGGTACTGTTTCAGTCAGTCAGTCAGCTACAACGTAGGACCAGGCACATATGTGCATCGGTCCAAGTTGCCATACCTCATTAACACAACAAGATATGGACACCGGATTCATTAAAGTAGTTAATTCAGAGGTGGTAATATATAAAAGAAAGATTGCATATAAGGATATAGTACAGGAAGAAAGAATTAAATCGTAGAAAGAAAGATATGAAGCAATTTAATCTCTTAGTTTAAGGAAGACAGAGAGTGTATACACCGACGCCATTGTGATCGATTCTGAGCCATGTCACCAAGAGTCTCCAACCATTGGTTACGATAGTCACGCGGACCCCAACCAAGTAGTCTGCATCTACCAACATGGCTCAGACTAGAAGTTAGTGACTTCAAGCACTGATGCCACGTTTTGGTTTGGCCGCCCCTAACTTTCTTCCAACCACCTCCAACACCGGTTAGCATTGCACGTCGTGGTAATCGGTGTTCAGGCATACGTAACACGTGGCCCAACCATCTCAGTCGATGAAGATTCATAACCTCATCAACTGATTTACCATCATTCCCTAATACCCTGCGTCTAACCTCACTATTACTTACCCGGTGATCCCAGCAGACGCCAGCAATATTTCTAAGGCATCTGTGGTCAAATACTAGTAGCTTACGGGTGTCTTCTACTCTTAATGGCCATGTTTCGCTGCCGTAAATTAAAACAGAACGGACTGCCGCGCAGTATACTCGTCCTTTTATTGATAGACGGATATCTCGCCTTCGCCATAGGTGACGTAAGTTGGCAAAAGCCAAACGAGCTTTTCGAATCCGTGCTGAGATTTCGTCAGACACCAACCCATTAGGGCTGATCAGACTTCCAAGATAAGTGAAGTTGTCAACGTGTTCGACTACTTCACTCCCTATCCTTAGTTCAGGTGTTGACGCAGACCAGTCCTGAAGCAACAACTTGCATTTAGAGGGAGAGAAGCGCATTCCAAACATTCTGGCATTGTTGCTTAGTGCTACCAGAAGACTGCATTTTGTCAGCGTCTTCACCAAACAGGACTATGTCATCTGCATATTCTAAGTCGATAAGTGGACCTCCTGGAAGGAGATCAATACCCGAGAATTCAGTCGACGAGAGTGTTATTTCCATCAATAGGTCTATGATGAAGTTAAACAAAAATGGAGAAAGTGGACAGCCTTGACGGACACCACTTGAGGTTGCAAAATCAGATGACAGTTCGCCATAAGCCCTGACTCGACTAGTAGTGTTCGAGTAAAGAGCCTTCACAAGGTTTATGTACTTCTGAGGTACGCCTTTCAATGACAGACACTGCCACAGAATCTCGCGGTCTACAGAGTCAAATGCTGCTTTTAAGTCAAGAAAGACCACCATTGTCGGACGCCGATAAGTATGCCTGTGTTCTAGAACCTGACGAATGGTGAATATGTGGTCGATGCAGCCACGACCAGGTCTAAAGCCAGCTTGGTTCTCTCGTGTTTGCAGTTCACGAGTCTTAGTTAGGCGTCTGATAATTATCGAGGCTAGTATTTTAGATACTATATTAGTTAAACTAATCCCTCTGTGGTTGTCACAGGATGATTTTGACCCTTTCTTATATATTGGGACGATAAGTGATTGCGACCAGTCAGATGGGATAACGTCTAACTCCCAGATCTTAGCTAAAATATTAGTCAACCTAATCGCTAAAATTGGACCACCATCCTTAAAGACCTCTGGAGCCAATCCATCTGGACCAGCTGCCCTTCCTCGTTTCAGATTAACTATAGCCTTTTGAACTTCAGCAAGAGTTGGGGGACCTACTTCAATGTTCCATTCACACTGTCTGGGAATGGAGGGTAGTTGTAGAGTAGCTGAAGGCCAGCTGAACTGTTCTCTAAAATGTTCCGCCCATCGTTCTAAACGTCTGGACTGGGAGCAGATGAGAGTATCGTCTTTTTCCGAAATAATCTCACTTACACTTGACTTATTAATTCCAGTTTCTTTTATTAGTCTGTAAAGCTGTCTTGTGTTCCCTATAGTCGCCGCCTTTTCCATCTCTTTTGCTTTCGTTGCCCACCACTGCTCACGGTCGTTCCTTAGACTTTTTCTTAACCTAGATCTGATTTGTTTCGCTCTTCATCATGTTCAGAACCTGATGGGACGAGTTTGCGAGAATCCATCAGTGCAATAGACCTTGAAGAAATCCACTGGTTCTTTGTAACTCTGTGGTTTAAGTCACTAATAGATGTCACTGCTGTTTCCACAGCTGTTTGTATATCTTTCCAAGCAACATCTGGGTCAGCCTCGTCTTCACAACTACCTAAGTGTGACCTCAGTTGTTCCTGGAACCTACTTTTGGTTTTCTCGTTACTCAACTCAGTTCTAATGGGTCTTTTTAATGTGGCTTTTTTGCGTCCAGTGAGGCGCAAGCAGATGCGTGCCCGTATTAGGGCATGGTCGGAGTCCAAGCAGGTACTCCAGAATGAGCGACAATCTTCTACCGACCCTCTCCAACGATGACTGATGGCAATATGGTCTATTTGAGTCGTTGGTTTGGTGTAGGGGGTCGCCATGTTAGACGATGTCTCTCCTTATGCTTAAAATTTGTGTTTGCTAAAAATAAACGATTGTCTGAGCATAGTTGCAGCAGACGATCACCATTATCTGTTCGCTGTGTCGGAATACTAAAATATCCACCTAAATGCCTTTCTGTTTGGTTTAAACTACCTATCTGAGCATTAAAATCACCTGCTACGAGTACTATGTCTGAGCGTTTAGCTTTCTGAAGAAGTTCGGATAGCTTTCTGTAAAATTCATCTTTCACTTCATCTGAGCTGCAGTCAGTGGGAGCGTAGGCAGAAACGACAAAAAGGCAACGACGTGTGTCCCTATCCTTCCGAGTTCTTACGTAGCCGTTCAGCCGAACAGCACATAGACGACTGTTGACGGGGATCCACTCTAGCAGTGCTTGTTCGGCCCTCATGCTTAGTGCTATGCCTACACCTGCCAGTCCACGAGAACTGGCCATCGGGTCACCAGATACACGAAGGGTGTATCTCGTTGGCTCTCCGTTTGCCGAGGTGAGGTCAAGTGAATGACCACACTGGAATCCTGTATGCGTGTTTCGGAGACACAACACACATCAATGGAAAGAGACTCTAGGGTTTTAGCCAAGGAAGCCTGCTGACCGATTTGACATAGGGTGCGTACGTTGAAGGCTCCAATGTGTAGTTTGGAGCGAGGTTTCAGTAGACCTGGGACAGTATTTTGCGCACTAGAATCGTTGGCTATGGTGACACTTGAGGGGGAAGCCGAAAAGGAAGTTTAGAGTTGAAAGTCGATGTAGGAGGAATAATAGGAATTGAAGAGGGAGGTTGATTATGAATACAGTGGTCTTGAGTGCTGTTAGAGGTATGAGGGCGGTTATCACTTCCCGGTTGCCCACACCGTGGAAGGGTTCTTCTGGAGGTACCTGAAAAGGAAATTGGATTAGAGGTGGTCTTAGTGACTGAGAGCGTGACCGCAGTGCCCAAGGGACAACTGCTTGAGGTCGGTCACACACGACCTTTTCATGGTAATTTTTGTGTTAGCTCCGTACTTATTGAGACCTTACCGCCGGAGACGGATATCCGTGGGATAAGGCGAGGTGTGCATTTTTAGGGTCGACCTTTTCTAACCCCACCCCTCCTTGTGGGAAGGCAGCATCGCTGTCATGCTGGTTGTCTGAAGGAAACACCTTACTGCTGTCACACCTCTGTACAGTCAGCAGTACGACTTCGCCTTCGGACCTTGGGTTTGTTGCTTTTAGTCTTACCGCTCTTCAACCGACCTGTCTGACATGGTAGGACCTTGAGGAACGGTTGTTCCAGCCAGTATAGCTCGGTTGCTTCATCACGATAGGCAAGCCCGACCACCACGTCAAGGTAGCAACAACGGTCGGGAGCAATACTGTTTGTCCGTATGTGGCTTGGATGGCGTTCTCAGGAGTCTAGATTTAGTATCTCGAAAGCTCGAAGCATCAGAAGTGTTCTCCGTGTTTCATTTGAGAACCTTGCTTTCTCCCTTGTGTGCGTTGAGGCCTACTGATGCAAAAACTACTGGTACACTGGCTGTCTTCACCTGCATTTGTTGGTGTATATGTGTTATAAATCGCTCTTTTCTTACGGTAATGACCCAGCTATTCCTATTACTTAGTATTCTCGGACACCGATTCACTCGACAAGTCCCCAAATCAAAACACGGTTGAACAGGAAGAGATTATATTCCAAATAACAAGGTTAGATGGAAGTCAGAAGCACAATAGGGAAAACGTCAGTATATTTATAGTTTTTACATAAGAAGATTCCAGAGTGTTCTCCAACTATCGGCTAGTGCTGATTGGATAAGAGTTAGCCAATCAGCGTGCACCAAAGCAATCATGCATTGAGCATGCTTTAATCTAGTCTATGTCCCGCTAACAATATGAGACAGAAGAGCTAGGTCATCTGCAAAGTCCAAGTTGTCCCGTTGCATGCAAGCTGTCTATTGTATTCCGTGCTTTTCCTCAGATGTGGAGGTCTTCATAATCCAGTCAACCACTAGAAGGAAAGAGCGAGAGTAATCAGCCTTGTCTAACGTCGGTGTTCACTTGTAATGCGTCTGTCAGCTGTCTCCCATACATGACTTCTCAGTGTAGTTCATTGTATGAATTCCGTATGATGTTGAATATAATCTCAAACACACCATAGTATCGAGGATGGTTCCATAATGTTCTTCAATTCACGCTATCAAACGCTTTCTCATTCAAGGAATTTGATGTATGCTGACGGATTCCATTGGTCGACGCACGACCGATCCTTACGGAATCCAGCCTGTCGATCTCAAAGTTGGGCGTCTACCGAAACTTCCACTCGGTTTAACAACACTGTTGTAAACGTTTCCCGATACTGGTAGTAGTGTGATGCCTCTGTAGTTCTTACACTTGCTCAGATTTCCTTCCTCTGGTACCATGATGAGTTATCCAGTCTGTCGGCACTTGTTCTTCCTCCCAAATCTTTCTGAGTAGAATGTCAAGCATGTTTGCAGTCGCTTCCATATCTAACTTCAGTGCATCAGCCGGTATGTTTTCTGGTCGTGCCGTTTTCCAACACATGATTTGTCTGATGGCCGTACTGACTCCTTCAATCTTGCGTCGAGTAACAGCCGTAGGAGTATCTGTATGTGCTGCTTCGATGTCTGACAGGTCCAATGGGGCTGGCCTATTTACGAGTTCTTCATAGTGTCCTACCCACCTGTTCCTCTTTTCTTGAATCACGGTGATTGTCTTGCCTTCCTTGCCCTTGATCAGTCTCTGTGGTTTACTACATTTCTCTGCTCGTTTCTTTTTCGTGTCATAAAGTTTGATGTTTCCTTCTGTTGCAGCTTGTTCTGCTGTCTTTGCTAGGTCTTCCACATATTTCTGCTTATCAGCTCTAATGCTCTTCGTCACTTGTTTGTTTGCTTTAGTGTATACGGTGTATGCCTTGACATCATCTGCTCTTGTTCAGCTGTTATTATTTGCAGTCTTCTTGTTCTCAGGACTTCCGAAGAATCTCGGTTTTAACTATGAGGCGTCATAATTGTTCTGAATGAAGATCGTTCAACTCGGAGGGCAGAATTGCAATTGTTCTTTCTGGTTATCGTTTTTCCACAAGGTTGTTTTCCACGGGATGGGGTTGCGGACACTATGCCCAACCCTCATCTTTTGTGTTGTTTTGGGACCGACAGTAAACCTAGATGAAAATGAATAACTCACCCGTTAGTAATAAAGTTAGATTTATTTCATAATGTGGAGTAAGCAATTCGTTTTAAGTTTTAATCCTGTGTGTGCAAGTGTTAAAAATGAGTCCAGTTAAAAAGAGTATTGTTGTCACCAATCATTATATTTTCGTTACAATTTCATTTCTTACTTCTATTCACCAGTTTCATCTGTGTGATGTTAAGAGTACAATTTGTATTAAAAAACATATATATTGGGGCATTGCATGTTCGCGTTGGTTATTAATATACTGTTTCTAATTTTTTATTTTATAACTCTTGATAATACTACTCAGTGTATTTAGTGATTGATAGTATTAATAGTCAACTCTAATCCAAATCTTATTAATATTGTCTCCACTCTCCAAAGTATACTATCACATTACATAGTCGTTAATGTTTTCACCGGCTTTTTAATTACATATACTTCTCCCCAAACCAGAGTTTTCATGGCATGGATCTAACTGCTCTGCGTAATGCTGCCGTTACGGAATACTTCAATCAACCTATAGTCGACACTTTTGATATTGGTATTTGTCCAGCACTACCATGTATACACAAAGTGGATTTCCGTACTGTATCCGAATCCGAACTAAGTTCAATCGATATTCCTCTAAATTATCAAATTACAACCTGTTCTACAGTAAGTTCTTGTTCTGTTTTTCATTGGTTTAAATAATAAAGTGTCTTTGTATCTTTATAATCTTTTCTTATTACTGTTTGCTGTAAAAATAACCCAAGTCCGCATGGTATGCACATTCTTTGATCGAAAGTATGTGTTTCAGTACATCAATGAAAAATAATTCAGAGAACACATTTGGGATCTCTCAAACACTGTTGTATTAAAATATTTAATTCAATGTGGTTAAAGAAATTTATTGAGTTTACGTTACTACCTTATAATTAACTAGAATTGATCAATAATAGTGTAATTCATAAATATGCTAAATAGTCTCACCTATATTGACTCATGTAACTTTGTATAAGCTTTATATTTTAGTCTACATCAGTTTATGGTTTTATACATTTTCAAACTGGTCTAAATTTATGATTCATTAATTGAATATTAAATATTTGAATCATTAGGTAGAAAACAAAGTAGCTTATGATTAATTTCTTTCAACGAAAAGATCTTTTAAACTCATCAAATTCCATTTATTATAGGGATTTATCATTTTCAATATACGTTTTCAAGGAGTTAATCGAATGTGGTAACAGTTCGTTAAAAATGGTGGCGACAATAAGTCAAATAGATCGTATGATGTATAACATGTGTAATAATTATGCCTTGGTGTGGCCAAGGTTAGCGAGAGTCAGCTCACCCCCTCCAAATGCTCTCACATGGCCACGCGTATATAGCCTCTGCCAGGGAAGTTCTACTCACTGCCTTCTCGCGGGATTACTGTTGTTTACAGAATTGAGAGGACAAAAAGCGAATATCCAGCGCTTTAAACGGTTTTGTAGATATGGAGGATCCACCTAGAGGAGTTGGAAAACCGTGATTCCAAACCAATAGTGCACATGGGCTCCAGTATCCTGAAGGAACAAATGGCGTTGAACCAATTATTAGTCACCTGCTACCATGGGAATGCATCTCCTTACGTTGCTCCACTGCCTTGCAGATCAGACCTTCAGGTCGAAGGTTCGGGGTCTGGTCCCCTAAGAAAACCACCTACTTCGGTTTGGCTCCCGGGCAGTATCACAGCCCTTACACAAATCAAGTGACTTGTGTGGCGCATATATATTCGGTGCCCCATTGTACCAATATTTATGCGTCCAAATAAATATAAATTTAGTGAAATTATTTGAAATAAACAAGACTAATTTGCATTATTAAGTTTGAAGAATTGTTTGCATAATCGATGCATCCATTTTGTAAAGCAAGCGAAGAGTTCTTATTAAAGCTGATTTAAAAAGATTGTAATATACCATTCACGCAAATGCGAAGGGTATTGAGAGATTAGAACTCGTCACCGTTTAAGACCAATCCCAACATGGAAATTGTGCTCCATTCGATCTCATCTTAGCATGTAAACGGAAATATGAATTATCGTAGTCATCCTCTTACATATAGAACTGTATATGTTTATAAATACTGACTTATTCTATAGCTGATTGTAACTTTTACACTTCTTTCTCCCATTTATTCTATGTTGTTCGGTACAAATCCAGATCCATGGCCTTGCATTTTGGTTTGATGTTGGTTTCTTAGGTTCTCAGAGAGATGTTTGGCTGTCAACTGCACCAACCGAACCACTTACTCATTGGTATCAGGTAAGACAAAAGAAATTTACCATAAGTTTTAGTAAATTTTATTCTTTATATGTGTGCGCATCACGTTTGTCAGTTTTCTATACCTCCTCGACACGGAGGTTTATTTATAAAAAATAATTTTCCCACTGTTGTCCAAATCAATGCACAACAGTATTTGGCTTAAAGAGAAAATGAGTTAGTATAATCATTGAGTTTGATTTGATGGTATGTTGGATCTGGTGTTTCATATTGTATACATGTGTTCAGTTAGCGTGAAAACCAATTGCATTCCGTATAATTTGAGTGATAACAGCGTGTATGTGCTATTATTTACGGATTAGGAAAAAAACAAAGTTACAAAATAGTGATATGTTTGAAACGATTACGAGTTCACCTAGTCTGCAAACGTACCAAAGACCAATAAGCTAGCTATTCTGATTCGTTCCAGCTCCGCTAACTAAATAGAGAAGTCCATGTCCTAAACGGGGAAATATATTCCGCAAACAGCCAGAAGCACGAGCAATTACGACAGGCACAAATCAAACGTATATATATAGCATAAAATTGTCATTGGGAAGCGTTACAAAATGGCATACTAAAAGATACGACGAACCAATAGCGTTAAAGACTCTCCCAAGTGGGAAATACGACATGAAGATGAAAATGAGCGCTTTCGGCGCGAAAAAAAGGAATTCAAATTTTTAAAATAAAATTACAAAAAATGGTATTTACCAGGTGAGTTCTGGGGATCCAACATCTCCAACAAACAGTGATATTGCACACAATATATACGGTATGTAAAGCGGTGATTTCCATAATATAATAGCAAGTAAAATAGGCGTAAACAATTTAGAAAGATTATAAAATTTGGTGCAAAATATATACTGTCAATAGTTATTACAATTTGTATTCGGTAAAATAAAAAAGAGCTCAGTCAGAGAAAAGGTGACACTATCAGGAGTAAAATGTTTTCTTTATTTCGAGTACGAACAACAATGATAAAAAAACAGGGGAACGAAAAGTATTAATCGCTAAGTATGATATTCACGATTTAGAGCAAGGTTTCAGGAGAAATACATACATGTAGTGATCGTGAATAAAATGCTTGTAAGGAAATTTACACAGTCCAGATTACTTACACCTGTTACCCCCAATTGAGCATAAACCGCCGACTAGCATTCTCCAACCCACTCTGTCCTGGGCCTTCCTTTCTAGTTACAGCCAATTCTTGTTCATTTTTCTCATGTCTATTTCCATTTCTCGGCGTAATGTGTCCTCTGGTCTTCCTCTTTTCCTTTGACCTTGAGGATTCCATGTGAGGGCTTGTCTTGTGACGCAGTTGGGTGCTTTCCTCAATGTGTGTCCTATCCACTTCCAGCGCTTCTTCCTGATTTCTTCCTCCGCTGGGATCTGGTTTGTTCTCTCCCACAGTACGTTGTTGCTAATAGTGTCCGGCCAATGGATCTGAAGTATTTTGCGTAGACAACTGTTAATAAACACCTGTATTTTTTGGATGATGGCTTTTGTAGTTCTCCAGGTTTCTGCCCCATATAGCAGAACTGTCTTGACATTTGTATTGAAAATCCTGACCTTGGTGTTGGTTGACAGTTGTTTTTAGTTCCAGATTTCCTTCAGTTTTAAATACACTGCTCTTGCTTTGCCGATCCGCGCCTTCACATCTGCATCAGATCCACCGTGCTCATCAATTATGCTGCTCAAATTTCCAAAGGTTTTTACATCTTCCAAATCTTCTCCGTCAATTGTGACTGGATTGGTGCATGCTGTGTTGTATCGGAGAATCTTGCTTTTTCGTTTCTGTATATTGAGACCTAGTGGTGCTGAGGCTGCTGCTACACTAGTCGTCTTCTGCATTTGTTGTTGCGTGTGCGATGGAAGAACCAGATCATCTGCGAAGTCCAGATCGTCCAGCTGCATCCTAGATGTCCACTGTATCCCGTGCTTCCCTTCAGATGTTGACATCTTCATGATCCAGTCGATCACTAGGAGAAAGAGAAAGGGTGAGAGTAAGCAACCTTGCCTGACAACGGTCTTCACTTCGAACGACTTTTTCAACTGTCCTCCATGCACGATTTTGCAGTGTAATCCATCATATGAACTCTGTATGATATTGACTATCTCCTGAGGCACGCTGTAGTGTCGAAGAAGTTTCCATAGCGTTGTTCTGTCCACGCTATCAAATGCTTTTTCGTAGTCAATGAAGTTGATGTAGAGTGATGAATTCCATTCAATTGATTGTTCCACGATGATCCGTAGAGTTGCGATTTGGTCTGTACACGACCTATCCTTACGGAATCCTTCCTGTTGGTCACGAAGTTGGGCGTCTACGGAGTCCTTCATTTTGTTTAACAATACCCTGTTGAAGACTTTTCCCGGTATTGAGAGAAGAGTGATGCCCCTGTAGTTATCACAGTTGCTGAGATCGCCTTTCTTCGGTATTTTGACCAGAAGTCCTTCTTTCCAGTCTGTTGGTACTTGTTCCTCATCCCAAATCTTATTGAAGAGAATGTGGAGTATCTTTGCAGTTACCGCTACGTCTGCTTTTAGTGCCTCTGCTGGGATGTTGTCCAGTCCTGCTGCTTTGCCACTCTTGATTTGCCTGATGGCCATGCTGATCTCTTAAATTGTTGGTGGGCCAACATCGATTGGGTGCTGCTTCGATGTTAGGTGGGTTCAGTGGGGCTGGTCGATTCAAGAGTTCTTTGAAGTGTTCTACCCACCCGTTTCATTGTTCTTCAGTGTTGGTGATTACCTTGCCTTCCTTGCTTTTCACTGGTCGTTCTGGTTTACGGTGATTTCCAGAGAGTTTCTTTGTTATGTCATACAGTTCTCCCATGTTTCCTTCTCTTGCAGCCTTTTCCGCCGTCATTGCTAAATCTTCCACATATTTACGTTTGTCGGTTCTGATGCTCCTGTTCACTTGTTTGTTTACTTCTGTGTATTCATCTTGTGCCTTGGCTTTTTCTGCTCTTGTTCGACTGGTATTGATTGCTGCCTTCTTGTTCCTCCTTTCTTGAATCTTATCCAGTGTATCAACAGTGATGCATTCCTTGTGATGGTGCTTCTTGTGGCCCAGAACCTCATGTCCTGTTGAAAGGATTGCTTATTTGATCCCCTTCCAGTTGCTCTCCATAGCAGTTCCCTCTCCATTGGGTAGATAATGAGAGGCCTGGAACTTATTGCTGAGGGCTATTTTGAATTTGTTGAATTTGTCTGTATCCCGAAGAAAAGCCGTATTGAACTTTTGTGATATTGTCCGCCCCTTGTTGTCCAGTGCTTCTTGAGTTTCAATTTCATCTTGGCGACCAGCAAGTGATGATCTGATGCTGTATCAGCTCCTCTCTTGGTTCTCACGTCCTCCGTCATCCTTCTGAACTTTTTGTTGATGCAGATATGGTCGACTTGGTTTTACGTGGTGTAATCCGGTGACGTCCATGTGATTTTGTGAATGCGTTTGTGTGGGAATATAGTGCCGCCTATGACTAGTTTATTGAAGGCACATAGGTTTGCAATTCTCTCACCATTTTCGTTCCTTTCTCCCAGTCCGTGTCGTCCCATGTTGTCTTCATATCCAGTGTTGTCCGTTCCAACCTTGGCGTTGAAATCTCCCATCAGGATGGTCAAGTCGTTTGTTGAGCACTTCTCGACGATTGACTGCAGCGTATTGTAGAATTGATCTTTAGCGTCTTCATTGTAGTCGTTGGTAGGCGCATAGGATTGGATGACGTTCATTGAAATGCCCTCTTTTCATGTTTTGAATGAGGCTTTGATGATCCTTGGTCCATAAGATTCCCATCCCATAAGTGCATTTTGTGCTTGTTTGGACAGCATCAACGCAACTCCTTGTGTATGTGGTGCATTTTATTCTTCATGGCCAGAGTATAACAGAAGCTCTCCTGAAGCTAATCGTTGTTGTCCAATTTGTGTCCAATGTGTTTCACTGATCCCAAGTACCTCTAGGTTGTATCTCCTCATTTCTGCAACAATTTGGAAGGCTCTGCCGGTGTCCCACATTGTACGAACATTTCATGTACCTAAATAAATGGTCGCTCTGGTTGTCAGAAAAGGCATCGGCCTCGTGACTTCCGAAGGAACTCGGCTTTGATCATGAGGCGTCATAGTTCTTCTAAATGAAGACCTTCTGACTCCCAGGGCAGAGTTTAAATGGTTTGAATAATTTTTTCTGGTTAGCGTTTTTTAGCGAGTTAGTTTTTTACGGGATGGGGTCGCTAACCCCATGCCCAACCCTCCTCCTTTATCCGGGTTTGGGACCGGCAGTAGCCCCCGGAGGGACTCCAGGCGGAGTTACACAGTCCAGATTATTAGATAATAGTTCTTTAAATTGATATATAGCTAGCATAGTTTTCTGTATGTATATATAGATCGTAAACCTACAGATTAGATGCACCCATCGCCTTTTATTTTCAAATTGAGTGTGGATAGTAGATTTTTATTTAAGTACTAAAGGGTTTTATACTTTTTTGAGCTCATATATATGTTAGTTAACTTTTCTTGTCACAAATATGCTTCAATTCCACAAATCTTTAAAAATGGCAGAACGATAATTTATTATTATCATCTTGCATTCAACTAGGTGCGTTGTCTTATGGGAACACCATTATTCGTTCAAGAAGGTCAGACACTTAATGGACGTGTTCTTATGCATGCTAATTCTAGACAGTCCTACGATGTTCAAATCGAACTGATAGTTCCTGGTAGTGAAACAAAGGTATATCACGATACAGTATTTTTTATATTCGGTATTTTTATTTTTATACAAGATTCTTTTATTTTATTTATCTATATTTTCCTAAATTGTATCTTTGGTGTACAATCTTTTCTATTACGGCTGATACTGTTACTACCTCTACTATTCTGGGATTTGGCCTGAAAATTTCATCTTTACTAATGGGATATGACAACTTGAGCCGATGTACATACGTACCAGGTTCTGCATTGTGACTGACTGACATACAAAACTACACTTATGTTGGTCTGTCTGTATACGGTGGTAATTCATGTTATACGCCAAATAATATATGACTGCAAATGTGATTTCGTTCGGTGACTGTATAAATCCACTCGCACTATATAAAGTTAGGTATTGGTTTTTAGACAAATAAAGCTCGAAAAGAGATTGGTTTTAGTATTTCTATAAACCTTTTATAATGTATTATTATGATTATTTATTGTAAATATTATCATTGCGCTACATTCTGAATTTATATAAATGGCTATAACTAACACAAAATAGTCAATAGAGTACAGCAATTCGCTCGTTGGATACGACAAAACAAAATGAAAGGGAATCTACAAAGGATAATAATAAAATGATGTGGAAACCTTCGTTTCCGTTCAACAGGTTAGTGGATATTTTAACTCAGCGGGTAACGCGTTGGGCTTTCGAAGTGAAAAGTACTGAGTTTGAGCGTAAACATGGACACTGGAATACAGGTGCATCCAGTTGAAAAATTTCAAGCAGGACGAAATACACGTCCTGTATAATACTGCTAGCTAACCATTTACCATATATACGAAAATTAATGGTGACAAAGTTTGTTGAAAGATTGCAAACAACACAGATGAATGCATATATGCATATCTGTTATTATCGATAGTGGTGTATGGTATTCCACTAACGGGTTCTGAATTTTTTTCACTATGATTGACATTCTATGAATACAGTAATAGTCAACTGCTTTTGATAAAAATTTGTCACCTTTCATATTTATATAAACGATGAAACTATAATTTAGGAACAAACCAACTTTTAGGTTTTTTCTCGCAATTCATTCATTCACATCACTGAATGAATAGCATTTTTACATTAGAGTTGATGTGATTTGGTGATAAAAACCCTTTATCTGATTTCTAACACTGATTCATAACCTTATTTTGATCTTGGGAAGTGAAGTTTCTCAAGGTCACCTTAGTATATCTCACAAACGTCATCCATAAATTATAATCTCATCACATATATTTAATATCATAATGATCATCACATTAAATTATTATCTATCATTGTTTATCATCAATCATAGATTGTTAATAGTTTAGATTTGAAAAATCCACACTTTCGATACAATGGTTATCCTCCAGCACCACCGCCTGGTTCACATGTTCGTTCACCGACGGAGACGTATTATGCTAACCTGTGTGCACAACAACAACAACAACAAATGGAGATGCAATCGCAAACTATGGTCAATAATGGTAATCCTATATCATTGGCTGCAGCGGCGGCTGCGGTTGTCGGTGGCGTTGGTATGCCTAATAATAATAGCGGACAAATAAATTATCGCAATAGTCCTGTTTATACAATGAATCAAGCGACTGGATTTCTTGCTGCCACTGGTTCAATTCCAAATGTTGTTCAAACAATCCCTTTAGCAGTTGCCAACGATAATCTATTACAGAATCAACCACATTCTATGCAATTATCTCCTCAGCCAGTTAATCAATCTTCACTAGAATTTGGTCGTTTTATGACATCGAATCATTCTCAGATTGCTTCTTCAATGCTTAGATCAGTAAACATTCCTTCAGCTACTCCCGTTATTGAACCTTTGACAAATGTTTCTGGCAGTGGAATTCATACAAATGAATCTGTGTATTACAACCCTGTTATTAGTCCGAATTTCGGAGATTCCTGTTTCGCAATGAATAATGTGGTCAATCCTAGCAAAAATTGGAATTCAGGTATCTGCTCTAAAACAACATATTTTTTTACTGGATTTTTATGTTACTACGCTCTTATACTTTTCGTGACCAACACAAAAGAGGGTTCTAAAACGTTTAGTGGTAGCTAAATATAACTTGTCTTTTTAAGTGTTTGACTCCTGGTTTGTTCTGTGTAGGGAGGTACTGGCTTGCTGATTGATTTGTATTCGCAAAAATCGAATAGTTAGGAACTTAAGAAGACATGAACTGTTAGCGGTCGAAGTGACTAGTTAATATTTTTGAATTTAGCAGGCCACGTGTTACATATGCCTGAACACCGATTACCACGTCGCTCAATGCTGACTGGTGTTGGGGATGGTTGGAAGAAAGTTCGGGGCAGCCAAACCAAAAATTAGCATCAGTGTTTGAAGTCACTAACTTCTAGCCTGAGCCATGTTGGTAGATGCAGACTACTTAGTTGAGGTCCGCGTGACTATCGTAACCAATGGTTAAAGACCGCAGGTGACATGGCCGAGAATCGATCACAATGATGTAGGTTTATACACTCTCTGTTTTCCCTCAAACCGTGAGATTAAAATTGCTTTATATCTTTCTTCCTGTACTATATCATTATATACAATCTTTCTTTTATATATTACCACTATTTAACTAACTACTTCTATGAATTTGGTGTTCATGTTGTTGTACTAATGAGGCATGGCAACTTGGACCGATGCACGTTTATTCCTGATTCTACGTTGTATCTGACTGACTGTATTTTCATATCTTACATTTTTCTCTCAATATTCTCATATAGTTCGGAAGAATATTCTTGACCAACCTGCTTGCCCTATTATTTTTTTTGAAAATCAATTTTTTCTCCTCTTTTTTTCCAATAGGAATACATCAGGAATAATTCCGACCTCTTTATAACCGTATAGTCGACGGTTAAAAGTATATGTATGTGAGGATTAATTATTATACAATCGTTTGTTATATGTGGTGTACACAGTAAAACAATATCTTATATATATAAACCTTTGGCATTTTCGTAAATTCTGATATTTTGATGGAAATTGTTTGTTTGTTTTTGTGCATCTATTTATCATTTCTATCATATGTGTTCACTGTGAGAGTAAAAATAATGACGGTTATATAGTTTATGCTTCTGTCTTATTCACTTCATCATATATACACATGCAAGCGAATTCACGCACAATCATTATAGGTAACTTGTTCTCATTGTTCTTTATCATCATTTACTCTATCTATTATCAATGAAATTCCTGGTCAAATAATTGAGGATAATCATTACAAGAAATAAGAAACTTCTTTATTTCACTATCAATCTTTATATGTACGTGGTCAATCAATTTGAAAACTTTTACTTTCTCGTGATAAGAAAATCAACTTAATCACCTTTGTTCTATCAACTGTATCGATGTGCTTGTGTATATTTGCACAGACCGGAATAACAAGTGAATTGAATGAATAATAAACCTATGTTATGAACAAAATAGAACCACTTCCAATCTTAACAATAATGTTACCTATAAGAATAATAGAAGCTCTTGTTAACTATGATCTGATGGAGCGTGTTTTTTTCTTCTTCTTGTGTGTTATATCGCTTGGAACAATTTTTCTCTCACTACTGTAGCTGGTATTTGTTTGTTTGTTTTTCATTACTAGTCAATCTCTTCTTTCTTATGTACCATTTTGATATATGCAAACATCCATATATATATATCCATATTCATTTTATTGCGATCAATGTAAAAAAAAATGTATTTATTCAAAATGCCTTTGGTTGGTTCACAAAATCATAAGATGGTGGATGGATAAGATTTCAAGTTGTTGTAATTGCAGTTGAATCGACAACTACATCTCTGTGCTAATGTGGTATGGCAACTTGAACTGATGTACGTAAGTACAAAGTTCTACGTTGCTACTGACCGTAGTTGCAGTTCTTTGGGTTCGTTAATCCAGTTTCGTTATTCATAATCACTCTTTTATGAATAAACTTGATGACTTTTGTGTTGACAGTTAGTCAATTGCTTGTTGAACAATAGATACTGTTTAATGAAAAGCGCACATATTTCATGATCATTATTGAGTATTAAGGGATTTAATTGACAATTCTATTGTTTTACTCTAATAATTATCAGTATCCGATCTATCAAAACCTAAGTAAACAAATATCTTCATTAAAATGTAAGAAATAGATCCATTTTAATATGTTCAACAATGAGAGTAGTTATAGGTTTCCAATATTGATAGGCGAGATAAGAATATGATATGAGTGCTATATATCGTAGATTTTTTGCTTATCCAAAGCTTTAAAGTTTATTGTTGAATGTAAAACAGCTATGTAAAACCAGAAGCAACATATTGACAGTTTGATTTTATCAGATGGGTTTTATGGATATTATAGTAATTTCAATGATTAAGATCATGAGTCAGTTGAAGCTAGACTACAATGGAAAACCTGGACGGCCGTTTCGTCCTATTGTGGGACTCCTCAGCAGTGCGCATCCACGACGTCGCCCCCTGCGAGATTCGAACCCAGGACCTACTGGTTCCGCGCGCGAGCTCTTGAACGAAGAGTTGGCGATCACTGTCTTGAATATTTGAGTAGGTTTCCGTGATGCACCATCAAATTCCATTGGTATTTTAGGTTAAAGAATTATTTATTTTAAAAATAATTCTCGGTAACAAAACTACAGATCGTTATGAAGCTTTATTCAACGATTTACGCAAATAAATTCTTATTCCATAAATTGCTGGGATGAATTCATTTTGGGTACATTCCGCATTGTATAAAACTATTGACGAAATCGTAATTGCAACGCATTATCGATTAAATCTATTTCGTCATTATTTGGTACTCAGCAGTAGACAGTGAAGTTCTTACACCAGAACGACCTTAAAACATTCACTTCTCGAGCTTAGCTTGACGTCGTTAAATCGTTGGCTCTGATTGTTCACATTATTAACTTAACATTAGATTGCCTTGATCAATATTGTAAGCGAACTCATTGATAGTATCAATCATTGCTGCATATTACTAAATGACAAAGTCCAACATATCCATTAGTGGTTATTGAGTAGTTTGATGCTGATACACATGTACATTGTGTCCCCTATCATGTTGGTTACTGTGCCCTCTTCATCAGTGAGTAGCTGATTGTTGTCTAGGATTCTTTCGTTTTCAATATTATGCTAGTTCATTGATGTGTGAGCATAGATGATAATGATTGGTTGTTTGCATAGTCAGACAGGTGTGTCAGATGAGTTATATATTCCCCTATCCTTATTATTATCATCACATTATTGATTGTTCATTGTTGTTAGATTGTGGCAGGTTTTTAGTGTGGAAATATATTTACGTTGTGGTCAGACTAATCACTTGTTCTTGATCTGAGTTGTGTTCAAGACACTGGGATGGAATCTAGTGTAGATATTCGTCTTAAGTAAATTAACGTCCCATACATGTAAATGTGGAAAAATTAACCGTTATAACATTAGACAAAGTAAAACCGAGCATTATAACATTCATATTGATCGATAGTAAAAATTAAGTTCTAAATGTGAGTTTTTAAATTTTATTTTTAAACAAGAAACATATGGATGTCTTAATGATGTTGAGTTTTGTTTCCAAGTATACTAATTTAAACTACACTGAAGTGTAAAACTGTTGTTTGTTTATTGATCGTATCAAATTGTAATTTACAGTTTTATTTATTTATTTCACAAAAAAGAAAAACATTGATGTGAATCGTTAGAAGGTTTTTCTCTACAAATTGAAATTCGATTCTTTCTTAGAATCAATGTTACTGATTCTTATTTTGTAAATTTGAATTCATGTCTCTTTTTATGCGGTGAAACTTTTGCACGAAAGTTATTCTTCATCGTGATAAACGGTGCTGTTTTCATATTGATCTGTATCTTTAGTGCTTGGAATTCTTCATTCTTTTCTGAGAGTTGCTGTAACTGTAATATAATGCTTGAATCAATCTTACTTAATCTCTAACAATAAAGTTTTCTTTCAAGCTTATCTTTTGAAATAATCAGGACAAAAATTATGGTACCCAGTTATCGAAGCGTAGTTAGGAGCTATTGTTACAGTGGTTTCGAATGTTGTTACAGGTATGAGAGTGGTTATCACTTCCCGGTTGCCCACACCGTGGAAGAATTCTTTTAGAGATACATGGAAAACAAATTAGGTTAGAGTTTGTCTTAATGACCAAAGACCGTAACTGTATTTTCAAGGGACAATTGCTTGAGACCAGTCACACGACCTTTTTGTGGGAGGTTTTCATGTTAGCTCCTGTTATGAACGGGGAATTAAGAAGCCCAGAAAATTACGAAAGCTATTTTCTTGGGACGTTATTGCATTTCATTCAAAACCTGTAAAACACTTATATTTATTTTTGTCCCTATCTTATTCTACATAACACGAGCTTTCGTTCTATGTATCATTCACTAGCATACCCTTTTTTGTTCCAAAAATATTGTAATTTAAACATTATATTTTGCACTATATTTTCTACCCTAATTCCCTGTTTCGGGCATAACTGTATTTTTCCAAATTATCCTACGTCGTGGTCAAGATATGCACTTATTTATTCATGTACATTTTTGTAGTAATCCGAATTCAGAGAATCCAGAGTTTAGTGTTCCAACTGTCTTGTCTTCTTTCACTTGCGTGCTTGCCAACCAATCAGGATTTAGAATAGTTCTCTCTACCCCATCTCGAACTCACGCGTATTAGACTCAAGGTTAAGCCACTCAGCCTAACGCGTCAAGGTCATAATTTAGACTACACAGACCAAGGTCAAGTCATAACAAGTATCACGGGGTAAAAGCGATTCAAGGTCATAACAACTGGCGACGGAGAATTTTTTTTTCTTTCCTATATTGATTGATCCAGTACAAAATGCCTGTTTCATTGGATGACCTTAAAACTATTCTTCAAATGCAGCAAGCACAAAATGATGCAAATCAAATGAAGCTTTTGGATGCATTGGCACGAATGTTCTCATTACAGTCGTCCTCAGCTTGTCAATCAGATAAGCATGAAAGCATCATAAATTCTATTTCTGAATTCCAGTATGATCCTGAAGCTAATATCATTTTCAGTTCGTGGTTTCACCGTTGTGAAGATATTTTCCGCGTTGAATGCTCGCATCTTGATGACGCAGCAAAAGTCCGCTTACTCTTAAGAAGACTGGGAACACAGGAATATAATAAATATGTGAATTTTATCTTGCCGCAAAATCCACGAGATGTATCATTCAAAGATACAGTCCAGATTTTATCTGATATTTTCGATGAACAGTCCTCATTATTTAATACTCGCTATAAATGTTTCCAAATAACAAAATCTCCAGAGGACGATTATCTCACGTATGCCGGGAAGGTAAATCGACAGTGCGAACGCTTCAAAATAAACGAAATCACAGCGGACCAATTTAAATGCTTGATTTTCATATGTGGTCTAAAGAATGAAGAAGATGCAGATGTCCGTACCAGAATGTTGGCACGCATTGAACAAGAACCAAATATGACATTACAAATGGTCACAACCGAATGTCAGCGGTTACTTAATCTCAAGCATGACACTGCGATGGTGCAACAGAAGGTTAAACCTTCCGGTTCTGATTCAATTAATGCGCTCCGATCCATAAAATCATCGAAACAAAACTGTACAAGCAGGAAACAACCTGCCAACCCCCCATCACCATGCTGGTTCTGCGGAGCATGGCATTTTGCAAAATTCTGTCCGTTTAAGAATCATAAATGCCGCAAATGTCATCGCATTGGCCACAAAGAAGGTCATTGTTCGTTAAATAAACGCAAGACTAAACATCGTAGTGAAAATTCAAAGCAACGATCAAACAGTCAAATTAAAACCACGTTTGCAACCTTTAAAGTTGGATTTAAAAGTAGGCGGAAATTTGTAAATTTATTAGTAAATGAAAAACTTATACGACTTCAGTTGGACACTGCTTCTGATGTCACGTTGATTTCAAAGAACACATGGCACAAGTTAGGATGCCCATCCATCCGACCGACGGAACATGTCGCCCGAAATGCGTCAGGAGACATAGTAAAGTTGACAGGAGAGGTTCTATGCAATGTTCAACTTATGGGAAGTAAATTTACAGATGTTTGTTATCTAACAAATCGACACGATTTAGATCTATTGGGATTAGATTGGATTGCACATGTTGATACTTTGAATAAATTATTAGATGAGGTATGTTCTCAAAATGTTTCCTATGATTCTATCCAAATCCCTAATGATATTTCTAAATCAAATGCCTCCGACGAATCATCCTCTCTGGATATTAACGAATTAAATGCTTCTGATGAAACATGTTCTTATGATCTTTCTGAATCAAACAATTCAAATGTTATGTGTTCTCACCATGTCAAATCAAATACCGCCGATTCATTGCCTTCTCATAAAATTTCCAAATCGAATACTTCAGACAAAGTATGCGCTAGTGAAACTTCGGAATCTCATGTACTTCGTTCTAATGTTATGTCTACATCAAAGTCTTCTGTTTCCTCTCAATTGTCGTCCGTATCTTACATAAATCATCTTCGACAAAAACATGCATGTGTATTTCAAAACAAACTGGGCTGTTATAAATTCACCAAAGTATCCTTATCACTAAAGGAAAATGCAAAGCCCATTTTCAGACCGAAACGACCAGTGCCTTATGCTGCTCTGTCAGTCGTTGACCAAGAATTGGACAGGTTAGAAGCACTAGGTGTCATTGAGCCAG